TTACGCGTTGCCACTCGCACTGTCGTTCGCCATCCTGACCCATATTTTCGTTTGCAAACCAGTCGCTATAGCCATGACCAGAGGTTTGTGGAGACCCATCACAGCAGGTTTCGGCTTCTCGAACATTCAGAATGTTTGTGAGAGAGGAAGCGACATGTGCACAAAACTGTACAGTACAGTACTGCACTATACCGTATAATGACAAGTAAGTTGTCGTTTTGCTCTTCCCAATGCATCCCTTTTCAAACAAAGATACCACACGAACGTACGAGGCATAGGCGGCAGTGGAGTCACCTTTGAGCCTATTCTGCAGTCGTTGGTCTCCTAAGCTTTTGTCACAGCTATCTCGCAAGCGCAGTTAGATTGGCCTTCATTCCATCTGCTTATAGGAAATTTGGACGCGGGCAAGCCTGACTTTCGAGTTCCGACAGGTATTCGAGAGGTTGACCTCGAAGCCAAAACCGTTGGCTCAGGACGGGAGGCATGTACCAGACAGGGATCGGCGCTTTGCTGTTGAACGGGTAGGCATACGGCTTTTGGCTTTAGAAACATCGAGCATGTGGGAGCAACACATGCTGCGGCTGTTGATATTGCTAACCAGATTCATATCTATCCGCTCTGCTGTTCACACCGGTCGTCTTGAAAAGAACGATCTTGCCCAAGGGCTATACATATAGCATTGATCATATGTTGCTTCCTTTTGGAAACTCGCTTCATCATTTTGGACTTGACCCACACAGGCTGTGCCTATAGTCGTTCTGACTGTACTGTATACATGTGATCACGGTCAGAAGTGCGAGAGCGACTGCTGTTGAAGGCGGTTATGGATACTTGGCAGTAGCTCTTCATTACGTGGTGCCCCTCGTACTGTCGTACACCATCCCGACCCCACATTTCGGTTTGCGAACCAACCGCTACAGCCATTACCAGAGGTTTGCGGAGGCCCATCACAGCAACTTTTGGATTCTCAATCATTGAGAATGTTTGCGAGAGAGGAAGTGACTTATGATCAAAACTGTATGATTGGATTAAGTCAAGCCCAAGATAATTGCAATAAGCATTCACCACTTCAAGCTACGCACTAGCATTGAGCCACGGAGACCAGAATCACGCCATGTCAGCAATCCCCGGTGAACTTACGCCCTCCCAGAGACCCTACAGCTCCATCTACTTGCCGCCGGAGATCCTTGCCATGGTAATGGCATACTGCGATGACAAGAGTCTCCGATTACTAGCGCTGTGCAGCAAGCTTTTTCGGGTTATCTGTACGCCACTGCTTTACCAGCGAGACTTACAATCGCCCGCTCCTCGTTGTGTTGCCTGGGCGATTTCCGAGTGCGGGGACGACTCCGTTTCACTATGTGTACTTCAAAGAGCTCAGCAGTTGGGGGCGGATTTTCAAAGGAGACTGCCGTACGATTGCTTCCTCGGTCATTGCGGTACTGATGTCTTTGAATCCCAACGGGACTGCTCATTCCGAAGTACAGAGCTGCTGTCAGCTTTTCAGCTTGCTCTTCTGTTAGGCCGCGATAAGCTTGTTGCTTATCTTTTGCAAAACGGATTTCGCAGCCAGGAAGTAACTTTCGACGACAAAGTTCGGTCTTTACTTCCGTTCAAAGCGCCTTATGCTTCTTTTTGGGAACTGGACACCTCCATTGCCCCGCTCTCTGCATCGGACTCGCCTTTTCAACCAGCCTTCGAGCCATTTATTCAGTGGGATGAGTTCGAGCCAACCTCTGCGAGGCTTGAAACACTTTCTTTCGCGCCCTGGTTTCCAATGT